ATAATTTGGACCGATTTTAAATGTGAATTAAGTTTAAGCGTCTAATGATTTTTTTTCTTTTTCTTTCAGATTTAACAACTTAAGTTTTTGGCAATTTCAACCATAGAAAGATTAACAATCAAACAACGAGTTAAAGTGTTCGAAGTATATTACGAAAATGGACGTTCAAAGAGAAATGCATTTCGCGCACTTAGCGATTTTTTTGGTCAACATAATCGATCAACCGAGAGTGCAATTGGAAATATTGTTCGTAAATTCAAACAAACTGGGTCGGTGGCAGGTGTGAAAACACCATTGCGTGCTTGTTTATGCCGTTCAGCTGAAAATATTGGCACAGTGCATGAGAATGTGTCCAAAAATCCAGACACTTCTACTCGTCATCGCGTGCAGGAATTGAACCTCTCCACAACAACGTTGCATCGTTTCCAATTGCACTCTCGGTTCGTCGATTATGTTGATCATAAAATCGTGAAGTGAGCGATATGCATTTCTGTTTGAACGTCCATTTTCGTAATAGGATTCGATAACTTTAACACGTTGATTGATTGTTAATCTTTCCATGGCTTAAATCGCCAAGGACTTAGGTTGTTAAATCTGAAAGAAAAAGAAATCATTAGACGCTTAAACTTAATTCACATTTAAAATGGGTCCAAGTTATTCGAACACCCTATATTAGTGAAGGTTTGTGTATTTGTCAAAGAAAGCGACAACTGAAATGGTGCGCAGTTTGCTAAGAATTCTATAAACAGCTCTGTTCATGTTTGAATTCAGGTTTCCTTCTCCTAAACTGGTTTCCAACCAGAGATTAAGAGTCTAGTATGCTCTGGCATTTAATTTATAGACGTGGAGCCAAAATTGATTTATACCTATCAGAAAAGCATTTGTGCGAAATATGTGAACGCAATGACCTCGGACGGGATTTGGATTTGGCCATGGCGATCCTACTTTCTGCGCCAATAAACAGTACGTTACGCGCGCGCATCTTTGACATAAAATTGCAACACCTTCAATATATCTTTCGATTCGTTAAAATGAGAACAATGCATATTTCTCTCTCTCTCTCCCTCCCCGGACCTACCTTCCACTTGGTTTATTTTAACGACCTGCACATTCTGAGATATATTATTATTATTATTATTATCTGTGTAAAACAGTCATTCTAAAACGCAGCACCGAAGAAGAAGAAGAAGAAGAAGAAGAAGAAGAAGAAGAAGAAGAAGAAGAAGAAGAAGAATTGGTCACCATTTCTAGTGATCGAAGGCTCAAATTAAATCATTCGACCCATTGATATATTTTGGATTTCATTGCAAAAGGAAAATTATGGATTTGCTAAAAAGAATTTATTAGTTTTATTGTAAATTTCTACTTCTTATTTATGTAATTTAGGCTTCTCAAGCCTAAATAACATCAAAAATAAGAAGCGAGAAAGACTACACTCAATTGAAGAAGAAATGAGGGTCTGTTTATCGCACATTCGACCAAACATTAAAGAAATCGCGAAAAAAACACCAGGCACAGGTTTCACACTAAATAAGCTGCACAAATAGTTGAATAGAAACATTGAAATAAAGTAAGTTCATATTGATATATATATATATATATATATATATATATATATATATATATCTATAGTTTTATTCATAACGTTTATACCATTAAAAATTTTGTTAAGTGTGCCGTGATAGTTCCATTTGCGCCTAGGTGTGGTGTTGCTTAAAAAGGTTACGAAACAATGGTCGATTTATAGATGCACTCCCAAATATTTTGATGATCAGAACCTGTCTGCTGATCTCTCATCTGATCTAACTTTAACAGCTCAATAGGGAAAAAAACTAGCTTGTAAAATTCAATGTCTACAAAAGATAGTAACGTTCCGTCATCATCAAGCAGACATTGAATTATCAGACATAATGAATGACATTACTCCCATTGAAGCTCTTTGCGTTAAACGTCTATTGGAACTAGAGTTAACTCCAGATGTATATCTAAAGATGCTGGAAATATTATCGGTTTCTTCTTCCGCTCCAGACTTCTGTTCTCTCGCCATGCTTTATCTTTACAAAATTAAAATCTGACCCAAAATAGAGTATTGCTGGTATATCTGGGCTGCAGCTGGTCAATCCTCACTTTTCCAGCCTTGACAGAGTTCAAAAGCGTTTAACGGACCATGTAGTTTCCCACCCTACAGTCACTTTCTCCACAGACGAAATGTCGCTACTCTATAGCTATTACCAAGGCAGATGGTCAGGTTGGCTACATTCCTTGGCTCCACAAGTTCAGACCTTCACAGCTAAGCCATTTACATAGACTCATCCTCATTCACATCGTATTCCGTTAGTAAGAAGGAAATTCCACTCAGACAACGTCTTCCCGAAAAACGCTACATTGTAGAACAGACACCGGAAAGGATGCTTTTCCGATCACTATTATCCTCAAATCTATGATCAACCATTATCTGTCCTACATATTGAGTGGCTTTTGGGCCTTATATTAGGCAAACATTTAGTGAAGAGAAATCATGGCTTGGTGGGTCTTAGCTGTGAAAGTCCGAACTATTGGTGTCAAGGAATGTGGCGCATCTGAACATCTGCCTTGGAAATAGCGATAGATTAGCGACATTTCGTCTGTGGGTAAATGATTGTAGGGTGGGAAATAATTCATCACCTACATGGTTGGTTAAACGCTTTTGAACTCATATACAGATCCATACGTTCACAATTTCCCAAATAAGGAGTTTAATAACAGTTCTCAGGCCGCATATTCGTGCAATGTGTGTGCTCCTTGGGCGTCAACGGAAGTTTATACACTCGCATACGTTATTTCTCGCCTCTTGCACAACCCACGCTGGTAGATTTTAACTTTTTTTAAAAAAGGGATGTCGACTCAAATACGTATGCTCACTAAATACAACGTTTATAGTCATAAGAAAAATATGTGTAGAGAGAGAATACAAGAACGAGAGGCGATGTCATTGAAAACAAAAGCAGACTGAGTGAAAAAAAAGAAAAGATAGAAAGGCGAAAGAAAGAGGAAAGAGTTCCTGAAGAAAGAATGTAAAGAGAAAAAGTGGGAGGGAAAGAGAGAGAGAGAGAGAGAGAGAGAGAGAGATCTTATAAGAAGTTAATGAGCGGGAGAAGAATCAGAAATGGAAAAGAACAAAACGAACAAGAGAAAAAAGGAAAGAGAGTCCACAAACAGGATGGTAGAGGAATGGTATGGCATGAAGTAAAAAGATGGAAGAAAAGAGAAAAAACAAAGAAACGAATATATATATATATATATATAATGTGTGTGTGTGAGTAAAGTAAGTAAATGTCATGAGCTCAACAGAAGTAGGTCTTTTGATGTTTTCAGATATGATAGGTGTGTATGTAGATGTGTTGATATGCCAGTGTGCCGACTATAAACTCGACCAAATTCTTTGAACCTGTCTGTGTTGAAAAACACAGTCAGGTATATAATATAGAAATTCTACTGTCATCGTCTTTGATCTGAACAGAATTTACCATCAAAGATGAACAGTTAGAATTCTAATTAGTGATTCATCTTTGATGAACACCCTCCAGCACTTGGCATCCCACTGTGTAGTCACGTCCCTACCTTTCATACCTGACTGGGTCCTTGAGTTTGCGCAATGACTCATATTTTATTTGACCCACAGTATGAAGCTCGAGCCGAGAGTTTGGGGAAATTTTCATATTTTCGGGCCTAAAGTGCTTTCTAGCGTCTGCAGTGATTTTTGGCCCGAGACGAATCTAATAGCAAGAAAGAACACAAGAATAAACTTTATAGTTTGACAACTTTCTCAAAGACAATATGGTCACTCATGTAGGTGAGACTGATAATTTTCTTTCGATTAAAAAGAAAAAAAGTTTATATATCATTTTGCATCATACACCGCGGTAGTTCAGTTTGAGTAGGCTTTCGGGTAAAGATTACTAGAACAAGACTAAAATTCAAACCTTTGTTTGACGCACTCATCCAGATGCACACAAACCTTTTCTGGCTGCTGCTTGCTTGTTTTTCAAGCCGCATCTCTAGTGCTCCCTCTTACATCTATATGAAGACCACCTCTCTTTTCGTATTAACTATAAAGTAAATTCAAATAAAAAACAATAACCTAGAATTGTAAAAACACATATGCATTAACATCTTTTTTTTAGAAGCCATGAAATAAAATATTGCCAGACAAACATCCGTAGCTATATCACTGTACCTGTAAACGAGCTATGTCCCAAGCTGTCTAATCAGCCTGGTGTGTAGCGCATTTTGATCAGTTAATATCAGCAAGATACAATCAAACGTACGGATTTTTAACTTCGGACAACAAAATAAATTAAAAAAAACTATGTATTCACGTATAATTCTTATACATTTTTTTTAATTATTTCGCCCCAAGCAAGGCGATAATGCCACTAAGACGCAGGGGGGGGGTACAGAGAGTGAAAGAGAATGAGAAGATATTAGTGAGGGGAAGTGAGGAAATAAGGCAATAAAGGAACAGGATAAAAAAAGACAGAAGTCATCTTATGTCTTCTTTTTATCCTGTTGACGTTGCATTTAAAATATTTAGAAAAATTTTGAAAGATTACAGACGGCGGGGAAGCAAGAAATTGGAAGGGAGTTCCACAGTCGTGAAGTGTGAGAAAAGAAACTATTAAACTAGAACTGACAGTTGTATCTAGCTCGTTTAGTAGCAAAAAGGTAAGACCTAGTTATCAATTGAAAAAAACAGAGAGAAGCCACATCACGTCGGTGAGAAACTGCAACTGTCCTGGCAGTAGAATTGATTCAACATAATCATTCCACTTGACGCCAGTGGAAAAAGTGAACTCAAGAAGGCTGGACTTTAGCATCGGCCATGCTGATGGTAGGCAGAAAAGTTTGTCTGTGGACATTAAATGAGAACAGATTTGTTGGACACAAAACCTTATAAAAAAAAAATACAATAAAAAATTTAAACAAACAGAACTTCTCAGTTCTTTTTATTCAAACATGTTCGAGTGAATATACCTTATTCATATACAAGGGGCTGCAAAAGTAGGTATGCGAGAAGCATTATTATTATTGATATGTTCATATAATCATTACATTTACGCGTACAATTTGTTGCTGCATACCTACTTTTGCACATTTACTTACACACACACACACACAGAGAGAGAGAGAGAGTGAGAGAGAGAGAGAGATGTCTGTGTGCGTGTGTGTACATATATGGTAAATAAATTAAATTAAAATTTCTTATATTTATATCTCAACTGATTCTCACAGAAATAAATAAATAAAATGTATGTAGGTTTATATATATATATGATATATACTAATAAAAAACGATTATATATATAGAATCGTTATATATATATATATATATATATATATATATATATAATTGTTTTATTAGTATATATATATATAATTGTTTTATAAGTATATATATAATTGTTTTTATAATTATATATATATATATATATATATATATATATATATATATATAATATTAGTATATATATATATATATATATATATATTATATATATATAATTAGATTATTAGTATATATATATATATATAAAATTGTTTTTTTAGTATGTGTATATATATATATAAAAATTGTTTTTATTAGTATGTGTATATATATATATATATAATAACCAAATATATATATATATATATATAGTAAATATAGAATAAAAACAATTATATATAATGTTTTATATAGTATGTGTATATATATATATATATATATATATATATATATATATATATATAAACATAAACATATATATACATGTTTGTGTGGGTGTGTGTGTATAGGATTGACAAACCTTGTCGTCTGAAGAGTTCGCCGTATAACTGAGCGTCCACATAAAACTTTTTACGTCGCGGGAAAGCAGCAATATTTAAGTAACGTTTTTTAAGATATTTTCTTTATTGGCTTTGTTTATATACATATATGTTACACTGATCATTGTTCTTCTAGCGTCCTTATACGCACAACCAGACACACATGTACACGAATTAACGATATAATATTTGACTTGGCGGAGAATTTTTCAGCACCTTGTGGAATGTACTATTATTAAAAAAACGCAGCTCAACGATGCAAAAAAAAAAAAAAAAAAATTTTACATTTGATTTTAAAATTAGATCCCTTCCTTATCAAATATTGATCGAACATTATACAGATGTCATTTCAGATCAATCCTAACCACGTTCCTTTGTAAGTCACTATAAGAGACCCGGATATAAGAGAAACCCGGATATAAGAGAGATTTTCTCTGGTCCCAAATTAAGATAATGTATATAAAATAGATCCCGGATATAAGAGAAACCCGGATATAAGAGAGATTTTATCTGGTCCCAAATTAGAGCCTGTGTTAATGTATATAATAGACCAAACCCGATATATAAAACCCTGATATAAGAGATTTATCTGGTCCCAAATTAGAGCCTCAAAAATTAATGTACTAAATAACCAAACCCGGATATAAGAAACCCGGATATGAAGAGATAGACCTTCTCTGGTCCCAAATTACAGTGTAAATAGACCAAACCGGATATATAAGAGATTTTATCCCCAAATTAGGATAATGTATATAAAATAGAAAACCCGGATATAAGAGAAACCCGGATATAAGAGAGATTTTCTCTGGTCCCAAATTAGAGCCTTGTTAATGTATATAAAATAGACCAAACCCGGATATAAAGAAACCCGGATATAAGAGATTTTCTGGTCCCAAATTAGGCCTGTGTTAATGTATATAAAACAGACCAAAACCCGGATATAAGAGAGATTTTCTGGTCCCCAAATTGAGAACCGGTCCAAACCCGGATATAAGAGAAACCCGGATATAAGAGATTTTTATCTGGTCCCACCTGTGTTAATGTATATAAAATAGACCAAACGGATATAGAAACCCGGATATAAGAACTTCTTCCGGTCCCGCCAACTCTCTTATATCCGGGTTACACTGTATTAGAAATTTTGAGTACGTTTTGCAAAGTTTAAACGGCGAAAAATTGTTTTTCAAATATAAATTAAATAAAATTAATTGTCAGATGCTATAAAATTGTGAGTTGAATGCAACAGCTGTCGATTGAGCGACGCTCGCTCATCGGGATCAACTGGAAAGATAAAAAAAATACAGGTCGGCTCAATTCGTTAATTCGTGAAAAGCAGTCACTTTGTGAGATTTCAAACAGGTTGTTGTTGTTGCTGTTCGGCGTTAAGCTCTGTTGAAAATTGCAAGAGACGGCACCTGGCTTTTTCGCCTTTGCAGTTCAAAGAAAGGCGTTAGAAATGAAAGACATTTCATGTTTTCCTCTAATGATGTGTCTTTATGGATTAGAGAACGGTCATTTCTGCTTATACATAAATACATACATATATTATATATATATATATATATATATATATATATATATATATATATATATATATATATAGAGAGAGAGAGAGAGAGAGAGAGAGACAGAGAATTAATATACAAAAGATTTGTCACTTAGCTAATTGATGTCGGCATCAGCATCCCGACTCCAGAGTTTCATAAACAGACCCTTCCGTCCACTCGTCAGTGGATATCAACAATTGACTGCTTATACCTAATATGGGGGAAAATGTATGACGAAGTGGGAAAAGTTTCGTCCTTTAAGACTTCATCGGACTGATTGTGTTATTTTCGTGTGACTACATATGCGCACGAACGAAGTGTGTTGGGAATTTTAATCTTTAATTTTTTTTTTAAATATACAATCGAGCCGATTTCATTTAGATTATATTTTTATTGCTTCCATCACTTTCGCTATTAGATATTTCACACTTATATATATATATATTTATGTGTGTGTGTGTGTGTGTGTGTGTTTGTTTTAATATTTTAATTAATATTTACACACACACATATATATTATTCTAGTTGGTATCAAAAATTTAGGAGAATTTCAACAATTTGTCCCAAAAAATAAATGAGGTACCGACTTTAACTTTTGTGAGATTGCTGTATACATGCATAAAAGAATAATTTCAAATTGTGGCATATCAGTAACGTGCCTATTTATGGTCTTTCCAAGTGAATATAAAAATCAGACCTATTCACCTATTCCGTCTTTCTTACCGATAACAGTGATCCGACAAAATTCTTCAATTTCATACACCTATCTGTCGACAGGAGGCACGGTGGAGTAATACATAGCGGCTCGGATTGAGGAATCGGTAGAGCCGAGTTCGAATTCCAATCGAATCCATTACATTAGTTATTTACGTGAATGTAATGGAGTACATGCGTATGGTATGAATCCTCTTCTTCTCCCTCCATCTATGGGTAAATAGCAGGACAGATCAGGTTTTGGTCTACCGCAGAAAGAAATGGCAACCTACTGCGGGAAAAAAAATCTGCCTCGTCAGTCATGTATCAAAAGATACATGATTGCCTACACGTGTATCACGCTGACTGACTGACTGGTCTGTCGACATTACGGTAGTGTTCTACGTGCCCAGCAATAAAAAAAATCGCTTACAGATTTTTGAGCCACTTTATATTAAAAGGAAGCTATCCACTATCAATAAAAGTTTCAAGTGTTAAAATGACTTTGAAGTGTAAGGTCATTTTTCCCAAAAGGATCTATTCTATAATTTTAGCAGGTGAACCTATATTTATTCTTAACCTTAAAATGTACAAACTTTATTTCCAGTCTTTCCGCCTCTTATTCACTGAAAACGACAAACGTTGATGGAAAGTACTCGCAACATTACACATAATTTCGGCAAGTTCCTATACAGCTTTTTTTTTTTTTAATACACATTAATATTTTTTTATTTTACAACCACCTATTCATTCAGAACTGGTTAATGCGCGCCTCTGAACTTTTGGTTGACCACAAGACAATGTTTCGATGTCCACGTGTCAAGTTGTTGAAGGCAAAACTAATTTCCACAAGGTAAAGGAAAAAAAAAAAAAACAGCTGAAAATTAGCCAAATCAACCTGCCTTCGTTTCTCCATCACCGATCTTATAACCACTGAAAACTGTGACTCCGTTCAAAAGTGCATCTCTGCCTGTACACCCGGCAGCGGCTGCAAACGTCATTCATAGCAGCAGACAAAAAACAAGTTCGAGCTACTGACTAAAAGAAAAGTTTTAAGAACAGGAGTGATGGGACATTTTAATACCTAACCAGTCGGTTCATTAAAGGCAAAAAAATATCAATATGTTTAGAAGCTAAATGACACAGCGTTTTAATTGTAATAAATTTATCCTCACGACTGACATTAGGAATGAACCATCATAAATTGCATTCATCTGTTGTGCGCCATTTTGTGATGACTGCTTTAGGAAGAGATATTACAAGAGAAAAGGAGCTATTGGTTACAGTTTTGTTCTAGATTGAATTTCATGTATCTAATATATTACAGAGAAAAGAAATTATATTGTATAAAAGAAGAAAAAAAACAAAACAAAATCTCATGTTAAAGAAAAGATAAAGAAAAAGATCTCAAAGATGTAATATATTAAATGTTGTGTCCTTGTTAGGGCCAGAAATAAAGACACAAGAGAGGAATTGAGTTAAACAAATATATTAACAGAAACATTAATACAAACGAGAGTGTTACAGCAAGAATGTTCGGTCCGACTGTCAGAGCTGACTGCTGGAAACTTTCCTCTCCCAAAGGCAGTACCTGCTCCTATTTATAACTGGGAGAGTCCATGCGTGCGTGGGTAAATTACCATAAAATTACAGAAGAAAGGAAAGTTGTTTTTCTTTTTATTAAAAAAAGACACGCTTTTAAAATCTTCCTCAATTTCTTCCGCATTTTAAAATATCATAAATAGCAGGTCAAACTAGATTCGGTAGCCTTGGCTGGTAACTAGTCTAAAAGAAGTATAAAACTTACGGCCACATCACACTGAAAGATCGGTTCCCGTAAGATCCCCGAAGTTAAACAACACCGAGCCTGGTCAGTACCTATATGGGTAACCGATTGAGAATACTAGATACTGTAA